AGCAAAATTGATGTGACCTACTTATAGACGAATGAAAATAAGAAACCAGCGATAAACATATTTAATAGCATGCTTACACTAAAATATAGCCTCAAATTTTATTCAAAAAACGTACGAAACAAAGAAAAAATTTGTATGGAGTGTAGAACCATAAATAAGGGCGATTTTTGTGGATAATGGAGATCTTCCTTTTCTCAAAGATGAAGATAATTGATTGAAAATTTAGGAGGCTAGGAACAACTGAGTTAGGAGAAACTAAAGATCCTATTTAGAATAAAATGCTATGTATCGCAGAAAAATAACTTATAAATTATTATTAATCAGGTTTGGTACATATTCTGACAAATGATTTATTCTTAATTAGGGGTTGGCACTTCATAATGTCCTGCCAAAATCTGGTGAATCAGAAGAAGAACACTTTAATAGATGAATGTGAATAAAAGAAGTTAGAAGCATTAGCAAACGAAGGGGAATTATGGAATTCACTTTGTAACGCAAGGTTACAAACAGTTAATATGAGCTATATACTTGTGTCTCATAATCCGTATAATCAGGCCTTAAGAACAACTGTAAATATATGTTAAATATTAATATTAAAATAATACTTAACCGTTATGATTACATAATCTTAAAAATTATTTAATATTGCAAATACCATGGATTAGCATTTGGTTTAACCAGCTAGGTTTGTTTATTTCACCTGGCCTGCATTCTCTACGTCCACTTCGTTTTCTCCTATTTGCTTACCTTGATATTTATTCTATACGATGGCTTCCGCGCCGTTACCTATAAAATTTCAAGAGCATTTGCAGGTGAAAATCATTAAATTTTGATATTTTTATTATACATATTTATCCAACCCTTAAGAACTATTTATTTAACGATAGCTAATTAGCATAGGAATCCAGCCAAGTAGCATCGGCTTCAATACTCTCACTATGGAATCTGACAAGTTTATTTGTGTCCGTGAAAAAACTGGAGAAACTTCTCATGTCGTGATAATTGATTTAGCGGACCCAACCAATCCTACTCGACGTCCCATAGTTGCAGACTCAATAATAATGAATCCTGTTAGCAAAGTGATGGCACTGAAAGCCGCTAGAACTCTCCAAATTTTTAATATAGAACTGAAAAGCAAAATGAAGACTTTTAATATGACAGAAGATGTAACCTTGTGGAAATGGACTTCCGTAAACACTATTGCCCTTGTTACTCCCACGGCTGTATACCATTGGTCGATGGAAGGCGATTCCAATCCTGTTAAGATGTTCGACCGTCATTCTTCCTTAAACGGTTACCAGATCATCAATTACAGAACCGATGCTAGCCAAAAGTGGCTTCTTCTTATCGGTATATGTGCTCAGGATAATCGTGTTGCAGGTTCTATGCAGCTTTACAGTGTTGATCGCAAGGTCAGTCAACCTGTAGAGGGCCATGCGGCAGCTTTTGCTCAATACAAAGCCGAGGGGGCTCAAGCCCATGCTACACTCTTCTGCTTTGCTGCAAAAGTTGCTAACTCCTGTAAATTGCATATTATTGAAGTTGGGACTCCTCCACCTGGGAATCAGCCATTTCAGAAGAAGGCAATTGATGTATTTTTTCCTCCAGAGGCTCAGAATGACTTTCCTGTGGCAATGCAGACATCACCAAAATATGATATTATATTCTTAATAACAAAAAACGGTTATATGCACTTGTATGATATTGAATCCGGTACGTGTATTTACATGAACCGCATAAGTAGCGAAACCATATTCGTTACGGCGCCATATGAGCCTACTCATGGAATAATTGGCGTTAACCGCAAGGGCCAAGCAAGTTTTAGTTCTTATATAATCGTTTAGGTATTATCCGTCAGTCTAGATGAGGACAACGCAGTTAGTTATGTTACAAATCAGCTAAATAACCCTCAACTCGCATTACGTTTGGCTTCCAGATGTAATTTGCCTGGTGCTGAAGATCTTTTTGTGCGCAAGTTCGATACTCTTTTTCAGGGTGGCCAATATGGCGAAGCGGCTAAAGTTGCTGCCGCGGCCCCTAAAGGGATTTTAAGGACTCCACAGACAATTCAGCGCTTTCAACAAGTTTGTTTTAATCATTTTTCATTCCTCCACGCATCCTTGCATTTATTCAACTCTTTGAATTTTGTATAGGTGGCAGCTGCGCCTGGCCAGAGTTCTCCTCTTCTTCAATATTTTGGCATACTTTTAGACCAAGGGCAGCTAAATAAATATGAAAGTCTCGAGCTTTGTCGTCCAGTCTTGCAACAAGGGCGAAAGCAACTTCTCGAAAAGTGGCTTAAGGAAGATAAATTAGAATGTTCTGAAGAATTAGGTGACATAGTGAAACAGGTAATTGCTATTTTACTTCTTGTTTAGTTATTTGATCTTCTATTCATGGATAAATATTTTCTCTAGGTCGACCCAACTTTGGCCTTATCCGTATATTTGAGAGCTAATGTTCCTCCAAAAGTCATCCAATGTTTTGCCGAAACCGGCCAATTCCAGAAGATTATCTTATATGCCAAAAAAGTTGGTTTCACTCCCGATTACATCTTTTTGCTACGGAATTTGACAAGGATTAATCCAGACCAAGGTCTACAGTTTGCCCAAATGCTTGTGCAGGACACTGAACCCCTTGCAGATCTTGAGCAAGTAGCCAATGTTTTTATGGAACAAGGTCTTGTGCAGCAATGTACTTCGTTCCTTCTCGATGCTTTGAAAAATAATAGACCATCAGAGGGTCATTTACAAACGCGACTTCTAGAAATGAATCTTATGTCTGCACCCCAAGTTTGTCTCTATTCCACTTTGTGCTTTGCCTTTGACATTTCAAGCATATTTACATATGATGCTATGTTAAAATCCCATTGAAACTTCGATTAATTAGTGTTTCGTTTTAGTCTGATTGTGTTAGGGGTTGTTAATAGATCAATTTAAGGTCAAAAACATGTTTAAAGAAGTCAATTTTAAGCTTTTTCGTATGGCTAAAGCTCAATCTTATTTACCTTTCTACTACATGTCTGATCATTTTTAGGTCGCAGATGCAATTTTGGGTAATCAGATGTTCACTCATTACGACCGAGCTGCGGTTGCCCAACTTTGCGAGAAAGCTGGTCTACTACAACGGGCATTGGAGCACTACACTGACCTTTATGACATAAAACGGGCTGTTGTTAATACACATCTACTAAACCCCGAGGTATTTTCTTTCATTAATATTGATTGCTTCCATCTATGCTCTAAAGACAAGTTCTTAAATTACCACTTATACTCTAGTAGATTTCTCATTTAGATATTTAATTAACTTTTTTATTTTGTTGTAGTGGTTAGTCAAGTATTTTGGCTCCCTTTCCATCGATGATTCCATCGAATGTCTTCGAGCTATGCTTCAGACTAACATTCGTCAGAACCTTCAGGTCTGTGTCCAAATCGCAACTAAGTATCACGAACAGCTAGGCACTTCGGCCCTAATCGATTTATTTGAATCCTTCAAATCATTTGAAGGTTTATTTTACTTCCTCGGTTCAATTGTTAACTATAGCCAAGACCCAGAAGTTCATTTCAAATACATCCAGGCTGCCTGCAAGACTGGGCAGGTCAAAGAAGTAGAACGCATTTGTCGAGAAAGCAATTGCTACGAGCCCGAGCGTGTCAAAAACTTTTTAAAGGCAAGTCTAGTTCATATCAGATGAATAATTTCTTTTCATCCTTTACGTGATTTAAAAATGATAACTTATGCTTGTTATTCGTATATGATCTTGCTTTTCATGATGATTGATGTCCTAATATTCACTAGGACCTGTATGAGCTAACTAATGTCC